TTCCAGAAAACAAAACTAAATTTTAATCTTGTGTCATTTGCTTGATTTGTGCAAAAGGAATTTATACCTAAAAGTTGGTCTTCACCTTTGTCTCCCTCTGCTGGTCAGGATGTGAACGACGCCTGGAGTTTCCAGCACCCACAGCTCTACATTCCCGGCCAACTCAGCCTGTACTTCAGCAAGACGGCCTTCTTCAAATGCGCCGTCCACAGCTGCTACAGCTCTCTGGTGCTGTTCTTCATCCCGTACGCCGCGCTGCAGGACACAGTGAGGAGCGACGGGAAGGACGTGGCCGACTACCAGTCCTTCGCCCTGCTCACGCAGACCTGCCTGCTGTTTGCCGTCAGCATCCAGGTGCGGAGGAACAGCCTGTTGTCTACTGTTGATCAGGAATGTACAGAGTGAAGTGAACGTTTTGGTGACGTTCTGTCTGCTTGTCGGTAGCTGGGGTTGGAGATGTCCTACTGGACGGCAGTGAACACCTTCTTCGTTTTGGGAAGTCTGGCCATGTACTTCGCCGTCACCTTCACCATGAACAGCAACGGGATGTTCCTCGTCATTCCATCAGCTTTCCCCTTCATAGGTGAGGATCCGTCAGCTGACTGGACTGGGATTGCAGTAATACAGAATAGCCTCTCGCAATAAATTAATTAATCACACGATAAACTAAAATAAGCCCAATAACTTCAATTTGCATGATTTATCTTTTCTCTATTCTCACTTGTCACCAAAACTGGATGATAAAAGTATTCAGTCTTGTTTCAGTCATTGAAATCGTTTTGTTTCAATGACTTTATGATGATTTCATTTGTTGTTTCTGTTGTTTTGATTTATTTTGTATATTTAAAATGTCTTCAAGTTCCAGTTTTAAATGTTCATAAAAATTTAAAGTTTATTGATCTGAGATGATGTGTTCTTGCACTATTATGCCATTATTATTTTTATATTACTGGAAAATTGCCTCAAACTACAATTTTACCATTTATCACAATAACTAAAGTTCCATCAATGTCTGAACCTGCTGATGTTTTTTCAAAAGCTCATTTTGTTTTGTTTGTTTCTGCAGGAGCGGCTCGAAACTCTCTGAACCAGCCCAACATTTGGCTGACGATCATCCTGACCTCCATCCTGTGCGTACTTCCTGTGGTTACCTGCCGTTTCCTGTTGATTCAGCTCTGCCCCACCATCAACGACAAGGTGCAGGAAACATCAGGAACCGCTTTGCATGTTCAGCCGCGGCGTTCCTGAAATGCCATTTGCCTCGTTCTTTTAAAGGAAGCGACATGATATTCAATGCTAAATTAGTGAATAAGTAAATATGAGCTCAAATTATTTATTGTTTTTATTTGTTACTTAGGTCTGAAAGTGTTATTCTACCTGAGTTTCAGGAACTTCTTTAGAAATGTGAACTGTTAGCATCTGTTCTGCCTCTACCTGTTTAGCATTGAGATGCTATTTTGGGCTTTTTGCTAAAGTGCAAAAAGAGTTAAAAGGATTATTTTCTGATTTGATCAACAACCCAGCAGTAACAATAATAGGTGAAGGTTGAACACCTGACTCTGTAGTATTTCATCGTTCTGATGATCCAAACATTCCTTCCAACTTCCACTCCAGACAGTTTTTCATTCTTTTCTTTTCCTCCTTTGACCTTCAGGTAATGTTCAAGGTCAGAAAGGCCAGAGCTACACCTCCTCCTCCGCCTCGCCGCTCCCGGATCCGCCGCACCAGCTCCCGCCGCTCGGGCTACGCCTTCTCCCACGCGCAGGGCTACGGCGACCTGGTGACGTCGGGCCGTTTCCTGAGGCGTCCCGCCGGGCCGCGGGCGTCGGGTTTCCCCCAGGTGGGCCGCGCCGCCACAGGGTTCAGCCCCATGGGCCGGTCAGCGGGCTACAGCCCGACGGGCCGGCCCCAGCACCTGAAGGTACCGGACGTGGAGGTGACCTCGCTGCAGATGTACAGGACATTCAGCGACGCTGCTCTATGAAAGCCAATGAAACTTCTGAAGGGAAACAGAATCGCTGAGGTTTTTGTGGGAATTTTTTCGCTGACAGTTTCATTTGAAGGATCGGCAGCCGCCACTTCCGAGAGGTAAACGGTTTACTGGCCTCAAATGTTTAAGTTTGAACCTGAAGGAACCAGCAGATGGGACACTAACAGACGGATCTACTTGACAACAGACACAGAAACAGATCAATGAGCTTCCAGGCAGCAAAACCAGAGGCTGGAAGTGATTTAACGTGTTGGGAAACACAGAGTGTCATCATGTTTACAGACTGCCCAGACCTTCGTAATCCTGGGAGTCCAGAGGCAACGCAGAGCTTCGTAAAGAGGGAACAACCAGCAAAGACACGCTGCTGTCAGTACTTTACTCTTGTTTTTCTCTTCATTTGTGATTTCTTTAACAGGCTAGGAAAGATCAGTGGTCTGTACAAAACATGTTACATTTTTAACATAAAATCATTTTAGATAATGGGATTTCCTGTCAGAATGAGCTGCTTTAGGACCTCTTGTCACTTTAAATCCAAATAAACTGCTGCTGGCGACGCCCCCCAATTCAACGATTACACTCACGTGAAAACGGCTGTAAACACATGCAAGATTATACAACCGTACTTCTTTGAAAAGCAGAAGTGGAGCCTTCTGCACAATCAACCAGAATGCAGGATTTGGTTTCTGGATGCTAAATCAACAAGTAAACACTTGTGTTTTCCAGCAGCCATTGTACAGCAATAAAACCAGCTGTATGGCGCCCCGCTGTGGTCACTAAGTAACAGCACAGTGTGTGTCAAAAATATGAACGTTTTTGAAACGAGTCGTTTTTCAGAAACATAAACACAGTTGGATAGAGAACAACTTATCAGCTGTCAATCGTGAAAAGTTTCTGTGAGAATTATAGTTACATACCTGTAGCACATGCAGCCGTTCTAAACATCGTCAGAGTTATTATGCACATCAGGAGGTGCAAAGAAATAATGTGATCGAACTTGAAGAGTTCAAAAACGTTCAACAGATTCCTACCTGTCATTATTTCTAACACAAAGATGAAGCAAAAATGGAAAAGATTAAATCGTTTTTTTTTATAAAATAACTAAGTACACCCCAGAGCAGTGGTTTCCAGACTGGGACCCCCAGATTATCCACCTCATTTTTTTTTGCTGCTCCTCTTTAAATCTCTATTTTTTTAGGTTTGAATCCCAAGCAGAGATGCTTTACTTTTTTATTTTCCCATAATTCTATGTGTGATTTATTTATTTATTGTAAAGGTTTTTAATTAACAAATGGATTAATCAAAACCCCCCAAATATTGGTTTTGTCATTACAGAAATTAAACATTTTCCCTGCAGTTTTCATATTAAAACTCAATATTGAGGCTATTATAGTTGAAACCAGAAGGATTTTATTTTCTGATTTTACTTCTTTATTTCATTTCTCTATTTGTGGATTTGAAACACCTACAAAAACAAACTTATTCTTCAGTTTTAAAATGTGCCTGGTTACATATTGATCAGTAATTTTTTGCACCGCAGCTCCAAGGAAGTATTTTTATGGTTTTGTGTTTTTGAGTTCGTCCATTTTGGTTGTTTCTGTCAAACCATAGAGACACTACGAACACGACCGGTCGGGCTTCCCTGCTCTCTGGCTCTTCCTGGTCAGTTAGTCGTCTGCCTGGTTGTTGGTGCTTTCACAGTTAGAGGTGACCATAAAAAACAAGGATGTAGAAAACATCGTTATGGACTTTATATTGTCAGAAAACGTTTTATCTTCTGATCAGAAGTCACGTAAAGTCGTCTGTTTATTGTCTTTGTCATTTTGCAGCTGGATGCTTTAACAAGACGTTTAAAATGCTGTTTTACTTGATCTGCACACCTTTGAATGAAAAGCCTGAAATTGAAACAACATGGAGATGATAATATGTTCGTTTGGTTGAAACAGGGATGATTTCTGTCAATGAACAAATCTTAAGTAAATATTTTATACTTTATATTTTAATATTTTAGTATTTACACAAATATTTAACAGAAAATTGTATATGCATTTTTTGGTTGCTTGTTTTTTTGTTTTTTAAGTTTTAATTTTTGTTTTTGCCCCAATTCCAGTTGATGCAAATTTTGTCCCTGATGATGAACCAAAGATATTTAAAGCTTACATGTTGTAAATGACTGTTTATGGTTATTTGATGCTGAAAATCAAAGTTGAACTTGGATCTGTTTTTATTTTCAAGTCAAACCCGTCAAAAGGAAAAAGTTTTGTTGCGTCTTCTTGGTGTTTTCAGAAAAGATGACATTGTTAATCTTTTGTTACTTTGGATCTTGCACAACAGAACCTTTTCTGGATGCTGATAATTTGACATTTTGCATGGCAGCTAAAAGATGCAATAATTCCTGTTTGCTTTTCATTTTAAATAATGAATTTATCGCCTCAAACTGTGGCAGATTGTATTGCGAGTGCCTTTCGCAATAGCAGGAACTTCGTGTTTTCTGTTGTGCTGTTTTGCTGCATCGTTATTATGGTGATGGGATATATGATCACTTCCTCTGATTTACCACACTGCACTTCTGATTGTTTTGTATCTTTTTATACACTTCAGATGTTTCATCTGTAATAAAGAGACCTGAAATATGAACATTTTCTCCATAATTCAATGAAAATGCAGAAAAACTCAATGAAAAACCTTTTTAAAGCAGTTTAAACTATTTAGTTTTATTTAGGATCATAATAACTCACCTAGAAATCCATTTCTGCATTTTAGAACTGCATATTGTCAATGTTTTAAAACATTTTTACTTTCTTAAATTTGGGCATTTTGATTAAAAAATGTTTCAAAATGTCTTTGAACCATTAATCCTCATGCAGAAAACTGTGAAAATCATTTGTATTCTGTCAGCCCTGGTGAATACAGTGAATAATTGAGTCCGTTTTACATATTTATATGGATCCGGATCAGACGTATTGTTGCAGTACTCCTTCCGCCCACTAGATGTCCTCAGTCTCCTCTGCATTCACTGCTCACCTGTAATCTGTTCCTTCTGCAGCCCTGCAAATATATTCTTCTGAGCTCATTTCATTCCAAAGCAATTCTTTAATTTTTGCTTTTACCACTTTTTAAAAACTGATCCATCTACTAATATTTTAATTGCAGCTGTATTTGTGTGTCAACTCAAATATGTACAAAGTCAAAGAAATATGAACATTTTTACATTTACAGATAGGTGTTGCATCAAATTCTTGTTGGAATGTATTTTTAATAAATGTATTATGCACACATTTCCAAATAGCAGCTGCTATAAGTTACATCCAGCAACAACCTGGGAAGTAACTTCCTTTCTGGAAGGAAACCATAAAATAAGTTGATTTGAAAGCTGCTGGAAAGTTTCTCAAAGAATCTTATAAATTTGGAAAATTAAACCCTATATATATATATATAGGGTTTATATAGGGTTCCTGGTCAGTTAGTCGTCTGCCTGGTTGTTGGTGCTTTCACAGTTAGAAGTGACCATAAAAAACAAGGATGTAGAAAATATCGTTATGGACTTTATGTTGTCAGAAAACAACATAAAGTCCATAATCCGCCGATTAAACAACTTAAAAAGTTGTTTCAGACAACTTTTTAAGTTGTCTGAAACATTTTCAGTAATATTTTTGTGTTTACTTTTCAAGTAATTAATAGAAGAAAATCCTGGTTTTACTAAAGGCAGCCCAATGTAAAACAATCTGAAAACTATGGATATAAATTATGTTTTACATTCCAGTAAAATAATTACTCTACATATATTTTTTGAAATTTGTACTCTTATCAAAAACAAGTATTCCATGTTTCCAAAACTAGATGTAGGACAACGAGATTGTTGTATTGGAACAATACTGTAATAGGAATAGAAAAAAGATTTGCATAAAAAATTATATTTAAATTTCTGCTCATCTGTTTCTAACAATAGAAAAAAAGAAAAACCTAGTGCTATATAAATTGTATTAGATGCAAAAATATATTTTTCTACTTTTATTACTAACTTTTAATGATAAAATCTAATAATAATAATAATGCATTTTCTTTGTAATTTTCCTCTTGTGGCTTTCATTTGGATGGGCAAAGTAACTAGTAACATCTACACAAAATACAACAATAATAATAATAATAATAATAATAATAATAATAATAATAATAATAATAATAATAATAATAATAATAATAATAATAATAATAATAATAATAATAATGATAATATAAACAAATAAGGCCCTGAGCCAAAAAACTAAACTAAAATTTTCTCATTCTATTCTCAATTGTGCCTAAAATGCAGTAAAAGTGAAATCTCTGCTGCCCTCTTGCGGCCACCTCTACTCCTACACCCTTCACTGGGCTGGTGCATTCACGTGACGGCAAAAAACTGACATTTACACTTCTTAATTCTTCCACGTATTGAGTATAGCAGATATTCACCCTAAGCACAGCGACTCTTTCTGGTTAACGTTACAACTCGCCTGTTTACTAATGAGAAGCGCCGTGAAGTATCCGCAGGTTGCAGTCCACTTGTCTTTCCCCCTGAAGCCACATTTCCCACAGAACGCGAAGGCATCACCTGCAGTAGCCTGCTTCACATTGTTAACGTTGATTTCTCCCGTTCCAGCGTTTGTCTTCCGTGAGCCAAACCGGGTCACCGCCTCCCGCAAAACGCCTGAAATCTCGGCTTCCTTCGGCAGCGGGACGCAGCGGGACTCACAGTAAGAGCCTTTATCCGGTTCCCGGTGAATGTGTCTCAGTTTGGGGGCTGAAACGGGGCGCTGATGGTCAGGAGCTGCGTTTATGTTGGATTGTTTCGGACCGCAGAGGGTTGAATAAACGTTACAGGGCAGCAGCTGCTGCTGGTTTGTGTTGGAGCAGCCGCGGTGTTTCGGGTCTCTGGTGGTTTTATGAGCCGGTTTGCAGTTCATCTGCCCGCAGCTCGGGTTCGGACACCTGTCCGGCTCCTAATTTGTCAGAAAGGACTCGGAAATGACTCCAACGGTCATTTTCCTCCCTGGACTCGTAGCCTAGCTGGTTTCCCAGGGCTACGCCAAGCTCCCCACGGGGTGTCTGTTTCCACCCGGACCGGTGACGATGTGCTGTTAATGTCTGTGCAAATGAGCTGAGGATGCGACAGTGAAGGCGGATAACCGGGGGGAGAACCGGGCGGAGAACCGGGCGGAGGGACCGCGGCGGGTCGTGGGTCCGGAGCGCAGGCTCCTCCAGCCCGTTGGGGATCCCATTGTTTCCCTCACATCTCTGACCGAGGCACTGACTCTCCTGTTCCTCCTTCTGGTGTCTTTCACTCGCACCACAGAGCCACAGCCATGAGGAAGACCGGCGTCCGGGTCCCCGGCCCGACCGGAGGCTGGTAGGGACGCTGCCGCTGCGACAAGCCGCCAAGAGACGCAGGAGGACGGGGAGAGTCTGGACGACATGACGGTGTTCAACCCGGACAATGTGGAGGAATTTTACGAGATTGGAGACGAGCTGGGCAGGTGAGTGCTGCGGATTTATTTATTTATTTATCTATTTATTTATTTATTGGTGTGCATGAACTTCCCCTTTCTAAGGCGTGTTGCGGTTTGCAAACTGATCTTGTGCATGTTCTGCAGCTGCATACTGGATCTTCTATTCATTTTTAATAAATGCATGTATGTTTTTTTATACACATTTGTTGAATCTGACAGTATGACGAGTTACCAAAGTAAAAGCAGCTCTACTTCAACTTACTTTTCATCAAGTCAAAGTAAAAAGGTGCAAAAATGACTCAAATAAGAGGAACAAAGTATTTGGTAAATTTCTACTAAAGTCCTGAGAAACTGATCAAATGATCAATTATTTGATCCTCAAAAGTGACATCATCAGACAGACCAAAAAGTAAAGTTAAGTGGAAATTTGGGTATTTTAAGAAAATAAATGACAATAATTCATATAAATAACAAAATCAGCCAAAATAAATATTTTATTTCAGTAAAAAAAAATCTTATTTCAGCTTTAGGAAAAACTGCTGGTGTTTTGTCTGTATTTGGTAAAGTTTTGGTTAAAACATGTTTGTTTTCCATTCAGGGGGTAAAAAATCCAGAAATTTACTCCATTAAGAGTTTAAATGGCTTATAATAAAATTACTCAAATAAAAGTAACCAGTACAGTAAATGTAACTATTTACTACCCAGCTGTGGGTATGAGGCAGATAACCTGCAAAAAGATCAACTTCCTCCCTGAGCCAGGAGGCGGGTCTTAGCGCTGTTAATCATCCTCATGTACTCACTGATAAAGGTGAGCCAAAACCACCAGTCTTAACTCTCAAAGAGCTAATTTTTATCTCTCCTACCAATAGGTAAAATTTTTAATAAACGCTATCTACTGCAGCTTTAATAACAATGATGTTCATTTGTCATTTTGCCAGAATTTAATTATTCAATCCCATCTAATCTGCACAAAAAATAGAATTTCTGTAAATTATGGATTCACATCAATATCCAGAACTGTAATTTAACACATTTAGAGTCTTCATCTTCTTCAGTGCATGGAAAGAAAACTAGAGGTCCAGTTACTCCTCTTTTATTATTATTAATATTTAATTTTTCTTCCCATTTCCTGTCCTGTTATCTGCATAAATACTTAGATTTCTTGCAATAAGTGACTCCAACTTTACTATTTCTTGTTTTTTTTACTATGTAAAAGATTCACTTCCATCCGTCTCTCCATTCCTCCGTCCATTTTGTGATTCTGCCGTTTGTCCATCCACTCATTTATTGATCGATCTGTTCGTCCAAACATTGATCAAGCTGTTTGTCCAGCTGTTTTTTCAGCCTTTCCTTCCTTAAAAGTTTGCCTCAAAGAAATTTGGAAAATTTGGCCTCAGAAAAAATATTGGAACCTTAAACATCAACAGAAAATCTGATGAAATAAGTTTCCCTGTCTGGACCGAAGTAGTTAAATAAGATTAAAGCACTGATGTTTCTTTATTTAGTTTTAAAAAGGTTTTTGTGGTTGAATTAAATGCGGCGGCTGAAGGTTTGGTTCACGGCTCGACGCTGCAGAACAGGTGGAACCTGGAAGCGGATCTCCTGACGGTTCTGGTTGTTTGACTCGGGGTTTTGGTAATGATCGTTTTCTGCCGTTTCTCACCGTCCTGCTGCAGCAGCCGGGACGATCTAGGAGCGTTGCGTAATGGGACGCAGCTTCTGGCTCCGCTCCAGCACCTGGATCCCGTTGCTGCTGCACAACCCACACTTTCTCAGGATGCTGGGCGATAAATTTCCCCGGAAGTTATTACAACAAACGAGTTGTTTTGAGACCATTTTCGAGTAAATTTATCATGCGATTAATTGAATTATTGCTTATTACGATACAGTATATTTTTTAAGGGACAGGAATTTCTTCTTGGGTTTAAGCAACTGCGCGGCACGAAGACGGAAACTTTTGTCTCTCTTCAAAAATGCCGGAAATATCACTGAGTAAGTTAAAGCCAAAATGATTCAAACCTCTGGTAGCTTCATGTTTATGTTGCACCAACTAAGCCTGTCACAATAATCAATTAATCAGTCGATCACAGTTACCTGGACTAAACGCCACACCTGAAATCTGAAAGGAGTCAATTTTAAAAACTTGGTCAACTGCAGACATTTCTGCCCTTTTGAAGGTTTTTTCTAATATCTGTGTTTCCCTTCGCTTGTTGTTTAAATGAGAAAAGGGCTTTGAGCTAATTTTGGTTATTGTAGTGGGAGGTTTCTGTTTAACTCACTAACCACAGATTTCACCCGGGACTTTCTAGAGACTCATTTACTTATAGAATGTCTCCTGATCGACCGACTGATGATTATTATGTTTTTATTATGTTTTTTTGTTCCTGAAACTGCAAAGGTCCTCTGCAACCAATCAGAGGAGTTAAAAGCAGATTGAAGAAGACAGAAGTTGTTTATTTTTATTTTTTTGCCGGATTTGTCTCAGTACAGTGGTACTTTCCAAGTTTGGAGCCAGACAGGAAAAAGAAAAGCGAGCAAATCTTTATTTAGAAAAAGAGAGAAGACAACGGTTTTGCTGTGTTTACAAAATCAAAACTCCAAAGTTTTTCAACTTTCTGACCTTTAGATAAGTCAGGAGTTAATAATGAAAGCCGGTCTTGTGTCCACCAGCTGCATGATGGGCTGCGTAAAGGCTGGCGTGCCGACACACACACACACACACACACACAGACGCACACACATGCACACAGACGCACACACACGCACACACACACACACAGACGCACACATGCACACAGACGCACACACACGCACACACACACGCACGCACACATACACACACAGACACACACACACACACACACACACGCACACACACGCACACACACACACACACACACACGCACGCATACACACACAGACACACACACACACACACACACACAGACGCACACACACGCACACACACACACACACACACACACGCACACACACACACACACCGTGACACACACACACACACACACACACGCACGCACGCACACATACACACACAGACACACACAAACACACACACACACACACACACACGCACACACACACACACACACACCGTGACACACACACACACACACACACGCACACACACACACACCGTGACACACACACACACACACAGAAAGCATTTTGATCTGCTGCTGATGCCGTTCTGACTCTGGCAGGTTTGGGATTATTGCCTATTTGCTTTGGCAAAATGAGGGAATTTAGGAAATCAGCCAAGCGGCGACTTTATCCTGACACTGATCCTGGCTGCTGCACGGCGGAGACGCCGATTAGCGAAGCACCAGGCGAGTGGCAGCCATGCAGCTGCAGGATCTTTGTTTTTCTTGGTAACCTTTGCAGTCTGATCTGCTCGGCGTTTTTAAAATGGCTTTTCCAGCTTCTGGTGTCTTTGGTAAGTCCTTCAAATTCAAAATCTTTTTTTATTTTTTTTTTGCAATCTTTTCAAGTTTTCTGCAGGTTTCTTTCTGCAAGGGTGCGATGATCCTCCGATATTTATTCAGTCTAGCATCAAAGCTAAAGCACAAAATCTCACCAGTATTAAAATAATAAAATATAACTCTGCTTAGTGTCTGTTTTTTAAATATTTGCACTAATTTCTAGTTAAAATAATTTGAATTAAGATGAGACCATCTTACAAGTAACTTTTCAGCAAAATATGAGTGTGTTTTTAGGCAGTAATTTTTATTTTTCCCTTGCAATGAGGGAAAATGTTATAAAAAATAATCTGCCAGTGGAACTAATAGTTTTTCACCAACATAAATGAAATGCTGGCTGAAAATAAGCTGATATCTTGCTAAAAAATTACTTGTAAGTTTTTTTATTTCAGTTATTCTAAGATATTTTCTCTAGAAATTAGATAAAAATACTTGCAGTGTATTGAAATTGTTAAATGTGCAAAATGAAATGTCTGTTACCAGAACTGCAGAAATTGCTGGATGGAAAAATGACGGTGTTTTATTTCCCCGTCCTCTGAGTTTGTGACGGACTCTCTGAAGCCCGACCGACCGACCGACCGACCGACCGCACACTGATCCCTCTAATGGTGTTGCAGATTGGCAGGAAATTCTCACGTTGGGCTGAGAACAGCAGGGAACAAGTGAAGGATCTCCAGTCTGGCGCGTCCTCAGACCGGCGATCAGGTGAAGCATTACTGGACCGTTTAGAGGCTCAATGGCACTGGGAGATAAAAACACTCTGCTCTCTGCCAGACCTCATCTATTCACCAGTTGCCTCATTATTTTGTGATTGTTATGAGCTAAGAGTTCATCATACCAGGTTTCTTTCTGTTGAAATCTGCTGAATTTCTTTAGTGGATAAATCGTCAGAATAATTATTGATAGTTGCAGCTTAGTTTGCTTTAATGAATCTGGAGCTAATTTGTCTGAAAAGTCTAGTTTGTTTGTGGCGAATTGAACTCAGATTCTCGTTCGCCTTCAAACTTCGGTCTCAGTTTGGTTGAAGTGAACTCTGGTTTGGTTTGAATCCATATGTGAACACCAAGCAGACCGGAGACTGCTCCAAAAGCAGGGCATTCTGGGTAAATGCAACCAAATCAGACGTGTTAGCCTAGCGCTAGCAGGAGAAATGACTTGAGCTTTTTTACCAAGACAAAGGCGAAATCTTCCAACTGCTGAAATCTGACACCGCTCCATTTTTGTTTATATTTTGTGAAGAAGGAAGTTGCGCTCAGTCTATTTTTTGGAGGTTCTTGTCATTTTCTTCAGAGGGTGTTGGTGCAGCGCCCCCACAGGCGAGAAGGGGAACAGGCTGCTCAAAGGTTTTGGACCATCTGAACCGCAGCTGCTGGAAATGGAGCAAAACGTTGCAGTTTTTGGTCTCCAATCTAACAAAGACTACAGGACTTTAAAGTGTGAAAACAGCCTAAAATTACTGATTTTGCAGCAAAGAATTGCAGTTAAAGGCTCATCTTTGCCATAAGATGCCCTTCGCCTCTTGAGGACAAA